CGATGGCCGGGTGCCCGGAGCAGCTGTGGCTGCGCACGGAGCGGGCCGGGCTCACAGCTTTGCCCCAGCACCCTCCAGCCCGGGGTCTGGGGTCTCCCAGCTGATGGGTGCATCTCTGCCCAGGTCCACATCAAGACCATGCCGGCCTCCACGTACCGCTTGCTGACCGGGCAGGAGCAGCCCCTCTTCCTCTGAGCCGCTGGCTGTGCCCGGCTGTCGCCGCACGTGCCTGGAGCGAGCCTGGGGCCGCAAGGGCAGGACGGGCTCTGCCTGCTGCCCCAGCACCCTCCTGGGAGCCCTCTGGTCCCCAGGGGGCCTGATCCTGCACCTCTGCGGTTTTACTCAGGACACAGCGGGAGACCCTGGGCGCCGGATACCCAGCTCGGGCAGTGTCCGGGCCTGTGGTGCCACGATTTGGGCATCTCCTGCCCCTCCATTCACGCCTCGCAGTGCCCACACGGTGCCTGTCCCGCTGCTTCACAGGCTCCCTCGCCCTGGCCTGGTGCTGGCAGGAGAGAGGACCCCGCGTGAAAGCTCCCCCCTTCCAGTCACCCAGACACTGCTTTTACACTCACCGAGGTGCCTTTCCCCGCGTGGGGACGGTGTGCCACGATTTGGGCATCTCCTGCCCCTCCATTCACGCCTCGCAGTGCCCACACGGTGCCTGTCCCGCTGCTTCACAGGCTCCCTCGCCCTGGCCTGGTGCTGGCAGGAGAGAGGACCCCGCGTGAAAGCTCCCCCCTTCCAGTCACCCAGACACTGCTTTTACACTCACCGAGGTGCCTTTCCCCGCGTGGGGACGGTGCTGGAAGCACAGCTCCGGGGCTCGCCCTCGAGCAGCGCTGGCCCAGCACCCCCGTGTGTGGGTGCACCCTTGGCACCCGCTCCTCCTGCCTGGCTTTGCCAGGGGCCTCTCGGGGGTGCAGATGAGCTCCCCATTGGACCTGTTGCACCGAGCTGGGAAACTACCTCTGCTTCTCCCTGGTGCTGCCTTTGACCGCTCCGCACGCACAGCCCGGTGTCACAGCCCTCGGTGCAGTGAAGGGCAGCGCGACACTGCCCAGTCCCACAGCACAGGGAGCTGGGGGCCGCCAGCCCCAGGGACCAGCCCCTGGTGACGTGTCCTTTCACCGGGGGTCTCTGGGCCCCGGCCACCGAGGCCGTGCTGACCTGACTCTGCCCGTGTGCTTGGTTCATGTAAAAATAAAAATTCTGGGAACGTGGGGGCTGCGTCTCAGGAGCCTGGCAGGGCTGCAGCACCCTGAGCCCGCTGTGGTGGGCACAACCCTGGCACAACCCCAGCCCGATGCCCACACCGGTGCGTCTCCGGGGAGGCACGGCGGCTCGACGCGGCGGGGG